ATATACATACATACACACACACACACACACACACACACACACACAAACACACACACTTGGCCCACAGAGGGATTAAAGCAATTTATGGGATAATAAATTATTTAGAAGCAAATAGGAAGCTCCTGGGAGAATATCAGTAAAACAAGGTAAAAGGGGTTTTCCTGCATTTATAAGCTCTTCTATAAGCACAAGCCACTAACTATTCTAAATAAAGACTTCATGCAGCCTCAGAGTACTCTGAGCTCTATGCTATTATAGACAAGTTCTTTCTAAATCGATGACTTATCTGTCCTTGACCAAAGAGAAAGAAAAACAGCTTCTCTCCCTCAGATTTAGTTTGGGGAATTCAATGCGAAGGACTCTGATTGATGTCCTGGAGAACTATGATTGCTTCAGTCTGAGTCATGGTCCACTCTAACTAGGAAGATGGAAGTGTTACCAAAGTAAGGGGATGTGGGGGATGCTGAGCCACACATATAACTGTAATCAATTAATTAAAAATACTTTCTGATAATCTAAAATATGCTCTACACTGTGACACAGAAATTGGTAAAACAAGTTTCTAATTCCAAGGTTCTTACACTTTAATGCAGATTGAAAAGATAGCAAGTAGTTCACAATTCAGGTGAACAGACAAAATTATCACACACAAAAAAGCAATGGTAGACAGTTATGGATGGTATATAATTAAGTGCTGAATTGTGTGGTACAGACCACAAGTGATAATAGTTATTCTAAGGAGAGGAAACTTAATACGGTAGTAATGAAACTGAATTAGGATTTAAGTGGGAGGATTTGGCTAGAAGATGACAGGGGAAGGAATTCAGAGAAAAGACTATTAGGAGTAGAGGTATGGAAACACAAAGAAGGATAGTTAATGAGGAGTCTACATATAAAAATGTGTTTTTTTTAAAAATGGGTTGTGTTTATTTGTTTTGTACCAGGGATAGAACCCAGGGGCACTTAAACACTGAGCCACATCCTCAGTCTTTTTTTTTTTTTTGAAACAGGGTCTTGCTAAGTTTCTTAGGGCCTCGATAATTGTTGAGGTTGGCTCCACAGCTTTCCAAGCCCCTGGGATTATAGGCCTGTGCCACCAAATTTGGTTCAATGGTCTTTTATCTATTTTTTGAAAGAAGGGGCTCTGCATGTTGGCTTTGCTCTGGACTCACAAACTATGTCACCTTCTCTTTGAGTATATAACTATATACTTGTACAAACATTATCTGTAGGATAAATTCCTAGAAATGTTATTAGGAGATAAAACTTTGTGTGTATATATACTTATATATATATTTATATACATATTTATATTTAGATATATACATATTTATGTTTATATATAGTTATTGCCAAACATATAGGTGTATGTGTATATATATATATATATATATATATATACACACACACACACACATATATATATGGTTACTGCCAAATGACTCTCCAAAAAAAATCATATCAATTTACACTTCCATCAATAGTAAATGAGACTCCTGACCAGACATTTTTCTTGTTTATTTTTATCTTTGCTAGTCTAATGGGCAAAAGGAAATCATTTGATTTTAACATTATACTGTTATTCTTGAATTTCTCCCAGGATTACTTTGGAGGGGAAAATGCAGATAAGTATATATAAGTACATCTAAATCATCTATAATCCTAAATTTCCTGGAAGAAATTTTATTCAAACTGAGTCTTAGAGGACAAGTGGGAATTAGCCAAGCAGAGGAGGAGGAAAGGGCCACTGGGAAAGATGTGAGAAAGTAAGATATAATTAACTTTCAGAGATGAACTCATGGTTTCCCATTACCAGGACTTGTCAGATAGAGGTGAGAACAAAGCTGTAAAGCGAGGCCAAGGATTAGGTGAGAAAGACCATGAATGCCATGCTGGATTTAATTCTAAGGCAATAGAAATTTATGAAATGATTTTTGTGTGTGTGGTGATGGAAATTGAACCCAGGGCCTCGTGCACAAGAGGCAAGCACTCTACCAACTGAGCAATATTCCTAGCCCCTTATGAAACCATTTTAGTAAGTCAAGTGGAAATTACCAAATTATGAAGTTTAAGAGTTTCTTTTTTAACCAGTTTAGATTCATCTATCACTCAAGTTATAGCAGAAGTGCAATGATTAGATCATGAGATTTGTAACCTAATCAGTCCATCTTAGTGTTAATGGAGTAACTGGGTGGTAACTGTAGGCAAGTGAGGCACTGGAGGAAGTGGGTCACTGGGGGCATGCTCTGGAGGGTTCATTTTCCCCAGCCCAATCCCTCTTCTTGCCCTGCTTCCTGGCCACCAGGAGGTGACTCTTCTGCCATGATGTTCTGCCTTACCTTGGGCCCCGAGCAATGGACTTGGCTGAACATGAACTAAACCTCTGAAACTATGAGCCAGAATAAACTTCTCCTCTAAATTGTTCTTGTCAGGTATTTTGGTCGTAGTGACAACAAGCTGACTGACACATTCAGGTACCAGGATACTTATCCAGAAGTATAGACTCTCACAGGTGCCTGGGCCCTGGTCTTGCAACTCAGCACAAAAGGTATTTTGCTTCACCCAGGCCTGGCATGTGCTCCATTGTTCCATTAAATTTCACTTGCCAAACACAAATTCCTACATAAAATTACTAAGAATTTCAAGACAGCAGCCAAAAAGCATTAAACCCCAAGCATGGGGCCTTTCTGCATACAGGAGTCTGTGTGACTGCATTGGTTATTAGCTTATGCAGCCATCCTTACATGTAAATCTGTTCATGCAGCATTAATTATAACAGCAAAATTAATGTCATTAAACAAACTATGGTACAGCCACACAATAATAAATCAAGAAGTCTCAAAATGAGATAGAGTTATAATACTGATAGCTATCTAACATACATAAAGAATTTATAGAATATTAGGTATATCATGATTCCATTAAAATATTAAGTATGTATGGATAAGTGTGTGTATGCATATAGAAAGGAACATTTGTAAGGATTCCACAATATCTTAAAAGTGATTAGGGGGATGAAGTAAGTTTTATTTTTTAGACTTATAATATTTCAGCTTTAACTATTATTTCTGAAATAAAATAACTATTACAAAATTTAACTATTATTTCTGAAATAAAATAACTATTACAAAATTTAACACCTAAATCATCTGAACTGCAGTGGAATCTGCTGGTTAATTTATTACTTAAGAATATAAGAAGATCATGGAGGGGCTGGGGATGTGGCTCAAGTGGTAACGCGCTCGCCTGGCATGCGTGCGGCCCGGGTTCGATCCTCAGCACCACATACCAACAAAGATGTTGTGTCCGCCGAGAACTAAAAAATAAATATTAAAAAAAATTCTCTCTCACTCTCTCTCTCCTCTCTCACTCTCTCTTTTTTAAAAAAAAGAAGATTATGGAAAACAATTTTATTGACCCATAAAAACTACTCATTACAGATATTATCATTCTTTTAATTTCAAAAAAAATTCTTGCAGCAAGGAGGATTGTGAATTTGAGGTTAACCTGGATAACATAATGAGATGCCATCTTGGAATAAAAACAAAAACCAAAAAACCCCCCTTACCATCATTGCTGGGCTCTTCAACAGGAGATGCTGAGTCCATGAGCTCCAGGATTCCCTTTGTGATTTCAACAACTTGAAGCCTTCTGACCCTGACCAGATCTATATCTTTCAACCCTTCCTCCAGTTGTTTGACCACTTCTTTTCCAGGGTGGGAAGTCAGGACAGTAATCTGAAAATAAAATCCAAGAATCAACATGTTTATTTTCCCAGAGGTCCAGAGTGAGGATTATCACAGCAGAAGTCTATGGTAATGGCTATTATGTTTAGTGTAAAGAGGATGATTTAACTGTAACTTACAAATAAAATTTCACTTAATCTTAGCCAAAAGGCCACGAAGTAATACAGACCAATTTCATTTGGCAGATTGTGGTAGAATAGGTAATCAGAACCTTCCAATCAGGCTGAGCCTAGAAAGTGACCAGTTAAAAGCAACAACTGTGTTTTACTCTTTTAAGATTGCTTGAAGCACTGGTATCATCTCATTTGTTCAAAATGCTTTAATTTTTACATAAAAACAAATAAGACCCTTAAGTTTTACTCACTAGTGTGCATTAAATATTAGGAAGCCTGTTGTTCCTTCTTTCTATAATGCTTCCTTATAGCATTCTTAGACTGATTCTTCCTTTGTTTATCTTGGATCCAGTTAAGGTATTTCTGTTGCTTTTTTTTTTTTACTGTAAAATGTGCTAATCTTTGACCAATATATGGGACCTACAGGAATATTGAGGTGTTTGTGTATAATATTTTATTCCATCTGAATGAACACACTGTATGTTTTTCTCATAAGTTTTGTCTTGGATTTTGAAACTTGAAGGCAATTGTTTAAAAAAAAGTATATATATATACTTTTTTTTTAAAAAAAAGTATATATATATAAATGTTCCATTAAATTCTATGGTTCCATTAAATTTCACTTGCCAAACACAAATTCCTATATAAAATTATGTAGTATCAGGGATTGAACTCAGGGACACTCGACCACTAAGCCACATCCCCAGCCCTATTTTGTATTTTATTTAAAGACAGAGTCTCACTGAGTTGCTTAGTGCCTCACTTTTGCTGAGGCTGGCTTTGAGCTCTTGATCCTCCTGCCTCAGCCTCTCGAGCTGCTGGGATTACAGGTGTGTGCCACTGTGCCCGGCAATTGTTAAATATATGCATTTTAAAAAAATATTTAGATGGTTTTTTTTTTGAGAGAGAGAGAGAATTTTTTAATATTTATTTTTCAGTTTTTGGTGGACACAACATTTTTATTTTATTTTTATGTGGTGCTGAGGATTGAACCCAGCGCCCGGCGCATGCCAGGCGAGCACGTTACCGCTTGAGCCACATCCCCAGCCCATATTTAGATGTTTTTGATTGATGAAGTAGGATGCCTATGAAATCCACAATAATTATTATTTTCAAAAACTTTATTATTTTAGATAAGTTTTAGGTTCAGAGCAAAACTGAGATAGCAAGTGATATCCTAAATGCCCTCTGCCCTCAAACATACAATACCCATTATCAATATCCTCACCAGAGTGTGTATTTGTTGAAATTGATAAACCTACATAGATACATCATAATCATCATAATCATCCAAGTCCATAGTTTACCTTGGGGCTCACTTTTTGTGTGGTACATTCTATGGATTTGACAAATGTACAACTATATGCACCCATCAACATAATGTCATACAGGTATTTTCATTGCTTTTAAAATCTTCTATGCTCCACTTATTCATTCCTCCCTCCCCATGGCCCTTGCCAACTACCAACCTTTTACTATTTCAATAATTTTGCCTTTCCCAGAATGACATATAGTTGGAATAATAAATTATATAGACTTTTCAGTCTGGCTTCTTTCACTTAGTAATATGTATTTAAGGTTCTATCATGTCTGTTTTGGCTTGACAGCTCATTGGTTTTTAGCAGTGAATAATATCTCATTATCTGGATGAACAACAATTTTATTAAACATTCATCTACTGATGGACATTTGGTTGCTTCCAAGTTTGGCAGTTACAAATGAAGCTATTATAAACACCCATGTGCAGAGTTTTGTGTGGACACATATTTTCAACTCCTTTGGGTAAATATCAAGAAGCACAATTGTTGGATGACAATCCAAGAGTGTGTTTAGTTTTGTAAGAGCCATCAAACTAGCTAGCCAATCCCTAAAAAACAAATACCAAATGTCTTCTTTGATATAATGAGAGCAACTATGAACAGAGCAGGGAGGAAGAGCAGGAAGAAAAGATTAACATTAAACAGAGACATGAGATGGGAGGGAAAGGGAGAGAAAAGGGAAATTGCATGGAAATGAAGGGAGACCCTCATTACTATACAAAATTACATATTAGAGGTTGTGAGGGGAATGGGAAAATAAACAAGGAGAGAAATGAATTACAGTAGATGGGGTAGAGAGAGAAGATGTGAGGGAAGGGGAGGGGGGATAGTAGGGGATAGGAAAGGTAGCAGAATACAATTACTAATAGGGCATTATGTAAAAATGTGGATGTGTAACCGACGTGATTCTGCAATCTGCATTTGGGGTAAAATTGGGAGTTCATAACCCACTTCAATCTAATGTATGAAATATGATATGTCAAGAGCTTTGTAATGTTGTGAACAACCAATAAAAAAAAAACTCTAAAAAAAAAAAAAGAGCCATCAAACTGTTTTCCAAAGTGGTTATAGCATTTTGCATTCCCACCATCAAGAATGAGAGTTCCAGTTGCTCCACATCCTTACCAGTATTTGGTATTGTTAGTGCTCTGGATTTTGGCCATTCTAATAAGTGTAGAGTAGTATTCAATTGTGGTTTTAATTTGCATGTCACTGATTGAGATATGATGTGGATCACTTTTTCATAAGCTATTGTATACCTTCTTTGATGAGGTATCTGTTAGGTCTTTAGCCTATTTTAAAACCAAGTTGTTTTCTTTTTGCTGAGTTCTAAGAGTTGTTTGGATATTTTAGATAACAGTTACTCATCATGTCATCTTCTGGAAATTTTATAGTTTCACATTGTACATTTCAGTCTGTGATCCAATTTGTGGAGGGTGGAAGGTCGGTGTCTAGATGTATTTATTTTTTGCACACAGACATCCAGTTACTTTAGCAAGCTCCGTTTGTTGAAATGACTATATTTGTTCTATTGTGTTGCCTTTACTCCCTTATCAGAGATCAGTTGACTATATTTTGAGGGCCTATTCCTGGGTTCTCTGTTCTGTTTCATTGATTTGTGTGTTCTTTCACCAATAGCACACTGTCTCTTGATTCTCATTTCTGAGACAATAAAATTATGAAGGTTTAGGGAAAAAGTGTCTTCATTTATGTTATGGATTTTTAAATTTTATTTGGTTCTTTCTTAGGAGTTCTCTTTTATGCTTACATTACCTATTGTGGTATCTACTTTATGAATTAGAGCCTTCAGCATGTTAATCTATTCTGTGTCTAGTAGAGCCCTTAGCATGTTATTCATTGCTACTTTCAGTTCTACAGTCTGTCAACATATAAGTATAAGCAACAACTTCCCTAATAGAACTCTTAAAGCTCAGGAAATACCAAGAATTAATAAATGGTATGTCATTAAATTAAAAAACTTCTGCACAGCAAAGGAAACAAGAGTGAAGAGAGAACTATATGATGAGAGAAAAATCTTTGCCAGCTACTTTTCTGACAGGATTAGTATCCTGAACATATAAAGAATTTTAAAAATTTACCATCAAAAGAAGCAAATAACCCAATCAACAAATGGGCAAATGAACCAAACAGTTCTCAAAAGAAGAAATGCACATTGTCAGAAATGTATATTGTCAACAAATAAATGAAGAAATGTTCAACGTCTTTAGCAATTAGGAAAAATGCAAATCAAAACTATACAGAGATTTTAGAATGGGAGCCATCAATAATATAGACGAGGTTGGGGGTATAGCTTAGTTGGTAGAGTGCTTGCCTTGCATGTACAAGGCCCTGGGTTCAAACCTCAGCGCGCGCGCACACACACACACACACACATACACACACACAAAGAATATATGACAATAATAAATATATGACTATAATATATGTATATATATTATATATATCATATAATATATATGACAATAATAAATGCTGTAGAGGATGTGGGGAAAGAAACACTTTTACACTGTTGGTGGAACTGTAAACTAGAACAACCACAGTGGAAATCAGTGTGGAGGTGCCTCAAAAAACTAGGAATGGAAACACCATATGAACAAGCTATAATACTCCATGGTGTCAATCCTAGAGAATTAAAGTCAGCATACAAGAGTGATACATGCATACCCATGTTTTTTTTTTTTAATTTAAATTTAAAAATTTTTCCTTTGTGATATTGGGATTAGACCCATGGGCACTCTTCCACTGAATTACATCCCCACACCTTGATATTTTTAATTTTTTAAAATTTTCTTTTTTAGTTGTAGATGAACACAATACCTTTATTTATTTATTTTTATGTGGTGCTGAGGATTGAACCCAGTGCTTCATGTGTGCTAGGCAAATGCTCTACCACTGAGCCACAATCCCAGCCACATGATATTTTAAATTTTGAGACAGGATCTTGCTAAGTTGCTGAGGCTGGCCTTGAACTCATGATCCTCCTGCCTCAATCTCCTGCATTGCTGCCAACCTGCTGGCTTGCATACCCATGTTTTTAGCAGTAAAATTTACAATAACAGTACAATTTACAATACCAAATTATGAAACTAGCCTAGGTGTCTGTCAATTAATGAATGGATAAAGAAAATGTGGCATATATACACACAATGGAGTTTTATTCAGCCACAAAGAAGAGTTAACTTATGTCATTTGTGGGAAAATCAGTGGCTCTTGAGAGCATTATGTTAAGTGAAATAAGCCAAACTCACAAAGTCAAGGGTCAGATTTTTTTAAACCTATGTGGAAGCTAAGAGAGAAAAAAAGGGGGAAAAAGGACGCAGGATCTTATGAAAACAGAGGGGAGATCAATAGAATAGAAGAAGGAAATGAGGAGATTGGAGAGGAAGGGTACTGAAGAATGAAACTGACCAGATTGTTATATTGTATGCATGTATGAACATGTAACAATGAATTGCACTATTATGTATAATTATAACATACCAATAAAATTTTTTTAAAAAGTTAAAAGGACTAGACCCCAAAGCCACACATAAAATTTATCACTACAGTGGCAAATACTTATAATTCCAGTGACTTGGGAGGCTGAGGCAGGAGGATCATAAATTTGAGGCTAATTTAGTGAAACCCTGTCTCAAAAAATAAAGAGGACTGGGGATATATCTCTGTGGTAATGCACCCCTTGGTTCAATTCCCAATATTAAAAAAAAAAAAAGAGTTTGGTATTTCTTGTCCTCCATATCAGTTAAGCTCTGATAAAACCCCAGTAGGTTGGGTTCTATTGAACTTCTTTCTCCTGAGGGCACAACTTGTTAAAAAGAACAGAACACTCTTCCTCTCCAGTCTGAGGTATGAGGGAATTTCGCCCTGATATTTACTATGAGAGTCTTGTACTTCTGAAGGCAAAACTCCCCAAATTGTGGGCCAGCTTTCATGACAGGGTGTCTTGGGAGTTTTTAACTTTCAGACTTGTCCATATCTATCCTCCAGCAATTCGTCAAAAAAATTCAAGTTTTCCTACTCCAGCTCTGGTTCCAGTGGAGATTTCTCATCCAGTATGTTGTGATTTTCTGTATCTGTCTGTGTCTAATTTTGGAGGCAGTAGTTTGTTTGCTTTGTGATCTTAACTTCTCTTAGGGATCCAAACAAAGTTGTTAACCTTTGAGTTTGTTTAACATTTTGCTAGTTGTTAGGATGAAGTGGTGACTTCCAAGTTCCTTACATGTAAAACTGGAAACCAGAAGTCTCTGCAATTATTTTTTAATGCATCTGTTTGCTGTCCGAGATTACTAAAGGCTGAAAGTGTTTAACTCATCTCCCTTATATATCATGGAATATTCAGCCATGACTTATTTATATTTTTAAGATTTTCTCAATCTGGCACCAGAATAGTAGATGTTTTACATTTGCATAATTGCTAATCTCAAGAAACTTTACTTCATTTGATGACAAGATTTGATTAAGAACTATTTCAAGTTCCTAAGGGTACTCAGGTAATTATATATATCAATCTAGGAAGCTTAATATTTGGAAGTTTCAAAAATCTGAGGCAGATGGAATATTCAGATTTTATTTTGATTCAGTTTTTCCTTAATTCACTTTAGTTCCTATTTTTGACCTTCAATTTTTGACAATCTGCATGTTAAAAATCATATATGATATATGTCTTCTGTTTGCAAGGAGCTGAAAATTTAGCCTTGAAAATTATATTCACTGGATGTAGTGACCCATACTTACAATCCCAGTGGCTTGGGAAACTGAGGCAGGAGGATTGTAAGTTCAAAGCCAGCCTCAGAAACTTAGCAAGGCCTTAAGCAACTTAGCAAGAACCTGTCTCAAAAAAAAAAATAAAATTAAAAACGGGCTAGGGGTATGACTCAGTGGTTAAGTGCTCCTAGTACATAAAAAAAAGGAAAATGTGTATGAAACAGAGAACAATACAAGGATTAAAGATTATAAATAATGAAACACCTATCTAGACCAAAATGGGAGGATGGCTTTGAGTCTTAAAGGCCAGCATCTCTTACCTCCAGGGAAGTGTAGGGCAGAGCAGCACCTGTGGTCACATATCTGCTGTATTGTTTGAATTGCTGGAGTCCATCCTGTATTGCCAGCTGTAGAGAAGTGCTTTGTGGTCGGAAACAACCTTCTGTCTCTATCATGCGAAGCTCTGAGATGCAAGCCTTCAACCTAACAAAGTTCCCTTTCACTTGCTGCAGGAAAAAAAAATCAATAAAAGACACAAATTTTCAGTGACCCAAGTTTCAGATTAATTGGCAGTCTAACTTCTTATCAATTACTTCTCAGTATTTCCTTTCCTGAAAAATCTGTTCATCTGACCAATAGGTACTGAATACCTACTATGCACTAAAATCTTACCTATGCCAAATGAAGGAAAACTTTTAGCCAAAGGTTTTGTGTAGATTTATCAGATATAGGAAAGAGAGTGTTATATATTTATTTAAATAAATAACCTTTATTTTTCAGAACAATTTTAAGTTTATAGAGTTGAGAGTTTCCACATACTCCCTTTCTTCCAGCTCATTTTCTCCTCTGTTATTAATATTTTTACATCAGTATGGCATAGTTGTTATATTTGATGGGGCAATATTGATACAATATTATTAACTCAAGTCCATAGTTTACATTAGAGCGCATTCAGTCCTTGTGCTGTACAGTTCCACTGCTTTCAATCTACTATTTTATATCATCTAGAAAATAATTCTGATTTATTAATCTGTAAATTAAGGAACATATCCAAAAGATTAAATAAAATCTAGATTTTAGATTTGTGGTTCTGCTTCTAGCAAGGGTTCAAATAATTGAAAAGACCACTTATTTTTGTATTAACTTTAAAAAATTTTTATTGGTACACAATAATTATACAAATGGTGGGTTTCTTTTTTTTATTAGCTATACATGACATTACAATGATCTTGGCAATTCATACATTTGAATCTTGGGGTATAATTTCTCATTTTTCTAATTGTACAGATTGCAGAATCACACTGGTCATAGAGTCATATATATATATATATATATATATACATATATATATATATATATATAGCAATCATAATGTCTATTCTATTCTGCTGCCCTTCCTATCCCCACTACTCCTCCCCTCCCCTCCCATCATTTCTCTCTATCCAATCTAATGTGAGACACTTTTTTTTTCTTTTCCTCATCACAACCTCATACATGTATTCTGTATAACGATGAGGTTCCCCTTCCATCTTCCGTGCAACTCCCCTTCTCCCTCTTTTTCCCTCCCACCACTCTTCCCTAAAAATGGTGGGTTTCATTGTGGTATATTTGTATGTGCATGTAACATAATTTGGTCAATTTAATCCACCCTGTACCTTCCCTTGCCCTCATTCTTCCTCCTGTTTTCTTTCCTTTACCCTACTGATCATCCTTCTATTTTTATAAGATTCTTTTTTTCTCTCTAGCTTCCACATATGAGGGAAAACATATATCCCTCGACTTTCAGAGTCTGGCTTACTTCACTTAACATGGTGGTCTCTTTAGCTTCATCCATAGGAAAGGAAGTGTTTAATTCATTCATTTACCCAATGGAAGGTCCAGTTGTGACTGCTGAGTTTTAATTTGTGTAATCTGCAAACTGGAGGATTAGCAGGGTTACCCTTAGACATTACCTTCATTTCTCAGTCCACCACAGAGCTTCTCTACTTAAGAATCATGTTTTCCCAGAAATGAGGACTTTGATATGATTGATCATTTCAGAATCAATAAAGTTCTGCCTAATCATTCTTCAGGATCATTTCAGTAAAGAAGAGATGTTTGGTATGGTTTGCAGTAAACTTAAGGAGCTAACATGTAAACCCCAGACAAGGAACCTCTTGGTTCTTCTCATACTTTTTTTTTTTTTTTTTTTTTTTACAAAAACTTGCTCTTAGGAAACAATATAATTTAATCTGATTTTAGGTCAATGTTACTTCTTCTAAGGATATATGCATTTTGAATAGATGCAGTCTGAAAATTTGTGTCACCATTTGAAGGGATTCCATGCATTAGTGGAAGGCAGGGGGTAAGAAGGATTTATATTTTGGGATGGGGTAACCTTTCTGACCAGAGAACAAAACTGAGTAATATCTACAATGTTCATAAAATCCTTGAGCTTGAACTTCAGTCTGCCAGGGTATGAATTTTGTTTAAGTTAACTCCTGAATTGTTTGGGGTTGCTTCCTTTATTTACCTTTTCCTCTTCCTGAATCTTGGGCAAAATATAAGCACCTGGAAATAATTCTGACACAAAAAGAACTCATAATCTAGATATGGAGATAAGGAAATATTTAAGAAAGAAATGAGAACAAATCAGGCCTTAAGAATAGCCTAATAGGGGCTGAAGATGTGGCTCAAGCGGTAGCGCGCTCGCCTGGCATGCGTGCGGCCCGGGTTCGATCCTCAGCACCACATACCAACAAAGATGTTGTGTCTGCCGAGAACTATAAAAAATAAATATTAAAAATTCTCTCTCTCTCTCTCCTCTCTCACTCTCTCTTTAAAAAAAAGAATAGCCTAATAGGTTTTGAGCTTTCTTCCCTCAAACATCCCAAAATAATCTGAAAAGCCATATAAAACTTCATACATCTTAAGTTGACACCTAAATTTTAAAATTCTAAATGTAAGGAGTTGCTAAAGATGGAACTTCCAGCACATTTTAAAATATTAACATTTTAAAATAAAAATATTTATCCTACAGGAAGCAACTATATAAGTGCTATTCATTTGGGGCAGCTGCCAGGCTGGTGCCTCAACCTTCTTGACCACTGATTCAAGTGGTGGACACAGAATAAGTTCTAGTAGGCCACAATCTCTAGTCATGGATGGGGACCTTCTGGGGCAGTTGCTAAATTACCACCTGTGGTCATTGCTGTCCTTGCTATGCCAGAATGAATAACAGGACAATCAGTACTTCTAGAGCCTTCTATGTTGGGTATCAGAGCCTGCTGGAGGCTGCTGTCCAAGTAGCATTTACATGGCAGAAAAGAGAATAGAGTTAATTAACAATATTGAGATACAAAAATTCATCTCCAAAAAAGCAGATTAACTTTTTGCACTTTCCTAGAAATCAGATGTACCTACAACTTCTAAAGTTAATGAAGACAATGTAGATCATTATGCAGTCATCCCACTTTTAAAGCAAGTCATGGGAATATTTAATGTGGAGGGGAATGAGCTGTTTTTCCAAGATATTGAAAATGGTGATGTAGTGATTGAAAGAATTAATTCTACTTTGGGAATTTTGTTTTTTCATTGTATTAATCTGTTTAGGAAGTGGCATCACCAGAGACATATACCACTTAGAAATCACAGTTCTTTGTCCATTAAGAGATATGCCTTTTCACAGTCACCATGGGGATCCTTTATCATATTACCAAACTGTGACATTATTCAAAATGGAATCAAGGATTTTGGCAGATTTCATGAAAAACTAGCAGTGTCTCTTTATAGCTCATCTCTTTCGTCACACCTATTTGGTTATTAAACTAGGTGTAATTACTTCTGAAGAGCTTCCTTTGTAATATAGGAGGAGTGTTGAACTAAATAGCAATTCTCTAGATTCCTATGAAAATATTATACAGAGATCTCTGGGATTTGTTAATCCAGAATTAGTTGAATTCCTTCTGGGAAAACCAGGATTAGATGAATCTAATACATCATCTTTAATGAGAAGTCTATAAAGCAAAAATTTCTCTGAAGATGATTTTGCTCCTGCATTAAGAAAAAATTTGTCTGCAGTTAGGCTTTAATATGTGTGAATACTGGAGTTAACTATTTTAAGGTTTAATGCCATGTGGATGGTATGAATGGATACAGTAAAACTCCGGAAATAGATAAGCAAAATGTGGAAGGTTTGGTAGCTCAAGGAACATTATACATGACAAAGGGAAATCTAAAAAAGTCCAGAAGATTTTAAGCTTGCATTAGAAAACTGTCCAACTCACAGGAATGCAAGAAAATACCTCTGCCAACTACTTGTAGAAGGAGGAGGGCAGTTAGAAGAAGAAAACTTTTTAAATTCTGAAAGTTACTATAAGAAAGTTTTGGTTTTGGATGAGATTTTAAAGATACAGAGGACGATTTGCAGAAACTTTATAAATATATGCAGAGAAAAAGTTGAATAGGAAGAAAAGCAGAAAACAAAGAAAACAGAAACACGTGAAAAAACAGAAACAAAAGCAGAAAACAAAGAAAATAGAAAGAAGTGAAGAAAACAGAAACAAAAGCAGAAAACAAAGAAAACAGAAACAAGTGCTCTTAAAAGAAGAGAAAAAAGTAAAAGAAGAAAAGAAGAAAGTTATCTTCTTCCTCTTCAGTGTTTCTTCTGCTTATGAGTCTGTTTTTTCCTCATCCTCTTCCTCTTGAGGTCACAAAGGCATAAGAAACAAAAGAGGAACCTTTCAGAGTCTTCTGGCAGTTCCAAAAGGCATTCACCTAAAGCATCCTCAGGTCAGATTGATCAGAATAGGAAAGTTGAGAGCTAACCAACTCCAATTAATACTTCAGTGTTTTTTCTTAACCAAAAACAAGAAGTGGAAATCTGCTGGAAAAGCAGGATGGTTATATTGTCAAAAGACACAGGTAAAAGAGAAAGACACGAGCCCTCTTTTTTCATCTTCAGTTGATATACTTGAAAATTTGGAGCAGGACTGAAGATCCAAGAGATTTTTACAATAGCTATAAAACCCAGGCAGGTAGTAGTGACATAGAAAAGCCATATAAATAAGACATTTTTCCAGTAGAAGAAATACCTCAGATTCCTTTTGTAGGCAAGATAAAATGTATAATTATAGGAGATTTTAAAAGGACATAGAGGGAAGAAAAGAGTACCATAGAAGGTGTACCGAGTTCCACGAGGTATTCCACTCCACCAGAAAGTTCAGTTGAAACCCCCCCCACACACACACAAACATACTTATTCTGGATCACATGATTTCAGTAGATATGAGTAAAGGTATCAGGTAAATACAAGATCAAGGAGAATGTGAAACAGAGGGCAATTTGGGGCAAGATAACAGAGAAGATAACAAAACAGAAGAAGGTGGACTAAATAGCAAAGAGCAGTTCAGAAAGCAGAGTTTAAAAATTTACCTCAAAATTTACTCAATATATTTAATCAGCTGAAGTTGAGAAAGAAAAAGGAAATAAGCCAAAAATTAATATGTCATGGAAAGCTACACCGTTA